CCCCAAAACCCCAAAACCCCAAAACCCCAAAACCCCTCAATTTTTTATAAAAATTGAAATTCCACATAATTATCATAAATGAGGGACAGTTTTAGCAAAGTTTGTCTAACTATGTTGGTCGTCTTCCTAAGCACTTTGCTTGCGGAGAAGATTGATTTTTCTAATTTAAAAAACAAGATGCTCAATAGTAAAAGTATTGATATATTCATGGATGATTATATTGGCAAAGATAGTGGAGTCAGGTAAAAATTAAATATTTGATGAACTCTCCTTGCTAAAGAATATGTATTACTACTTTTAAAACATTGCGAAGCTTAAATTAAGCTTCTTATCTGGCCTTTTTCACAGTTTACTTATTTTTTAATATAGGTTCTTTACGTACCAAAATATTATTGATTTATTCAAAGAAATTGAATCCCAATTCTCCTTTTCCAGGGTACATTCTATTGGAAAGAGTTTTGAAGATAGAGATATTCCGTTACTTACCTTGGGAGAGAACTATAAAAAATTTGAAGAAGGAGATTCCAAAGATAATCCTCCTGCTATTTTACTAACCTCAGCACACCATGCACGAGAGGTTGTTGGAGTCTCTATGAATATATATGTTGCTCTCGAGTTGCTGTATAATTGGGTCCATGACAATCCAGGAACGCATACATTACTAGAGAATCATGTTTTGTATTTCCTCCCAATGGTCAACGTTGATGGCTATTACTTGATATCAGAAGGATGGGAAAAATCTCATTTCTTTAACTATATTCGAAAGAATCGTAGGAATGATGGCGGCTGAGTGGGTACTAGTATCGGTGTCGATCTAAATAGAAATTATGACTTCAAATGGGGTTTGGATAACGACGGAAGCTCCCCCAATAAGTGCCAAGGAGATTATAGAGGGGAGATGCCGTTTAGTGAACCAGAAACTCAAGCAGTGAGGGATTTCATCACCTCGAGTCAGCATAACGTCAAAATTGCGATAAATTTTCATACTTGGGGTAACCTCTTCATTATTCCTTTTAACTTTGATAATGAATCAAATAAGGATATGATACATAAGCCTATTTATGCAATCTATGAAGATATTAGAGACCAAGGGAATCTTCCAGAAGGAATGCTTTTTGGGAATGGAAAGCAGACCATAAAATACAAGGCAAATGGAGATGCTACGGATTGGATGGCAACTCAGAATGACTTACTTGCAATTTCACCTGAATTAGGGATTCTAAATACTGCCTCAAATCGGTTTTTCCCTAATTTGGAGTTTGTCAAGCCCATAATAAAGGAGAATTATCCTTGGGTAAACTATACAATTCATAAATTATCAGCACAGATTGACATTAAAATACTTAGTTACGAAAAAGAGGTATGAATGATTGAGAATTGAACAACTAGACCCCAAAAAATTCAGAAATTTCATGTCAATATCCAAGCTCAAAATCTTGGTTTCTCGGTAACAAAGAATATATCTATCAAAATCCTGGCAGATAGTGATATCAAAATTCTGTTGAAAGATGACCAACAAGATAGATTTGTTCGATCAAATGAGCTAACGTATCCTAGTTTAGCGAGTCTTGAGTCTACAGTCTGGAACCTAAGAGTAGAAGTACCCATGACTAAATGGAAAGAGTTGAGTTCAGCCTCTGTTAATAAGCCCAATGAAAATGCTTTTCTATCATTTGAGAATTACAAATATCCACTGTTTGCTTCCTCAGAAAAGAGCATTAAAGCCTTGACCATTGCTTCCTTGGTTGATGCCAAAGAGACTGCTCCAGAGGATCAAGCTAAAACAAGCATTTACTATTATGTAATCATTGTGTTTATCATTCTTGTCTCAGTAGCTATTCTAGTCGCGTACTGATTCATTAAGAATAAGAAACCCTCTAGGATGATACATCTTGATGGCAAGAGACATCAAGAGCTTGAGATGGGCTACCCAAGAGATGCGCCTGGTTCCAAAGAAGATCGAAGTATTTACAGCAGTTAGACTTTCACCTTTAGCTCTCAATATTTAAAAGCGTAAAAGGGGTTTTGGGGTTTTGGGGTTTTGGGGTTTTGGGG